ACGCAGTGAATTTCGGTATATTGTATGAAATAGCTACAAAAAAAACAGATAATCATTAATTTCATATTTATCAAAGATACACCCACCCATTACACATCTACATCGACACCCTCAATTTTTTTGAAGTAGAACTCGAATTAAAACCCTTTTTCTCTTTATAAAGACATTATCAGAGACTGAGTTTATTTATTTTCTATTACTCTTTTGAAATTATTTTATAAATAATCGAACTACTCAAAAACAAAATTTCTATTTTATTAAATGATTACATACGGTTTAAATATGGTGCAGTTGCAGAACTTATTCCAGAAACAGTTGTTGTTAAAGAAACTGATTGAGTATTATTCATTGAAGTAACTATTAAAAACAAATATAAACTATTAGTAAAAAAATAAGTCAATAAGAAATTATTTGAAAATACCCGTGGCCACAGTTGTTACTGTTGTCGTTCCATCTATAAATAGAAATACAATTTTATATTATAATATAAATTTGTGATAGATATTTGGAGTTTACACTTTTTGTGCGTTTTTGAACATGTTGATGTCTAGATATATCTTTTCTTCTATTTTATAAAAGGTTACTATATTTTTTTAAGACACGAAATTAACGCTTCTAACTATAATCACATATTCCTAATAATGTATCGTTTTACATATGAGTGAATTAGTTTTAACTTACTACATGAATTTGGTAACAAAAGAAATTTTTGTATTCTGTTATTGTATTCATCGGTGACAAATATATTTCCATAACTGTCAAAATACATGGTATGTGGATAATATAATTGACTGGATGACGAACCATATCCAGAACATGCCGCTATACATCGAAATCCATTAGGTCCTGAGCCAACAAGACGATGATTCCAACAATCACTAATAAACATATATCCATCAGCATCAAATATAACTGAAGTTGGAGCAGATAATACAATGGTTCCTGTTGCTATTGTTGTTCCATTCGATTGTCCTGATGCAAATTTTTGAATTCTATTGTTTAAAGTATCAGCTACATACAAATTCAAGTTAATATCAACAAACATTCCCCAAGGAGTATTAAGTGTAACCGATGTTGATCCAGCTGTGCCTGTACCAGCAACAATATTCCATACATTTAAACGTGAGTCCAATGACTTTGAGACAACTTGATGATACGGACCCATTACGCAGTAAAGCATATTATTGATATCGACAAAAAGACCGTAGCATTGTCCACACACATACATTGCTGGAACACTGCTTGTTGAATTCCATCCCCATTTATCAACCCGATAATATGTGTAGCCATTGTCAACATAAACATCACCATTGTCCGTAACGAAAACGCTATAAGGCCAGGATAAGCCACCAGAGTAATTGCCTGTAAGTATGGTACTTCCGTTACGCCACACTTGAATTCTCCCATTCGTTTGATCAGCGACATAGACACTGTTATTTCTATCGACAAACATGCCTAAAGGATATGTACCAACCGTAGGACTTGGGACAAAAGTTATAGCCGTCTGATTCCACGTTGCATTTGCACAAAGTTTTGGTTGATTGTATGAAATGCCTATGAAAAAGCATGGAACTATGAAATAGAATTCGAATAATAATGATCATCATTAACTCAGAATTTTGCACTTATGCTTCTGATTGAAACCTGAGAGAAAACTCTGGGAATATGTATGTTACATACAAAGGAATAGCTAATTTCTAGATATGATAACTTCTCGGTTAGAAAATAACTCGAAGGTTTTTATAAAGATTATAATAACGTGTCCGGACATATCTATTTTTGATGAAAGATGACTACACTAAGTTTATCGAGTTCTTACCTGATGTTTGCCCAAAAATCAGTAGAAACAACCAAATATTGCGAAAACCAAACAATATCATGTTGAATATCTAAAATATAATTCAGTTTCATATTTATGAATAGTGATATTGGATGAAAAATTAGGTTGTACGAAACAGTTCATTATATGACTGTAAACGGATAAAATTAGATATCTTCACATCAATCAGTAAGTTGTCTTTTACAAAGTGTTCTTCATCTCATATAGTCGTACGAGGGAAGTACCGGAAGTGATGAACAGCTTTTAAGCTGATATTTTGTCCATAGGTCTTTCTGCCAGAGTTACGATCATTTTAGTGAATTTTTCAAATATGACAGAATACTCATGGAAAAATCTACTTACAGAGTTTGGGTCTTATAACCCTTATCGTAGCCTAAAAGTTTCAACCAAAACTTATGTTTCTTCCACGAAATACTGAGTATTCAAGAAAAGTCGATCTTCTTGATACGTATGTAACATAAGAGGGCTTTTTGAAAGCTAAACATTTCGTGAAAGAAACATTCGTTTTGGCTAAAACTTTCAGGCTACGATAAGAGTTATAAGACCCATATGTAGACAAAGTTTCAGACCCAAACTATGTAAGTAGATTTTTTCATGAATATCTTGTCATATGTGAAAAATTCACTAAAATGAACGTAACTCGAGAAGAAAGGCCTATGGGCCCTTATCCTTCTAGGCCTTTTCTAGTCTATGTATCCCCTACTTGTGGGCAAAATTGCGGCTCAAAAGCTTTTTGATACCTCGGAAGGTTATCTCGTAAGTAGTGCCGCATACGTAAAAATAATCACACGATCAATTAATGGAACACAAATTTAAGGATTGCATTTATACGCTAGATAATAAGGGATAGAAAATGGTCTGTGTATTTAAAAGGATTGGAATTTATCACCGTATTTCCATGAACCTCTTGTATCCCCCATCGCTCCTTATTACTCTCCAAAGAATATAAAAACTAATATTTGTAATGTCTAGTCTAATCGAAGGTCCTAACTGTTTTTTTTTAATGCAGACTCTGTAATACATCAAGAATATAAAATATTTTTAGAAGCTATACTATTCGTATAGCAATTATGTTTTCATATATCATAAATATTGAATAAGAAAATCGGATCCTCCGACAAGACTGAACAGCCCATTTATTTTAATTAATACTTGCTGTTGGATTTATCTTTGACAATAATCTAAGAAGAAAGCAAACAAAATTTACTTAAATGCACTAACACTTACTGGTCGATTTATAATTATAAATAATCTAAACATAAAAAATAAAATTTGTTTTAAAAAAAAAAGAATTACTTGCTGTTCGTTTGATCGATGTAAATAATCTACAAAGAAAAACAAAAATTATTAAGTTAATTGATACTTACTATTGAATTAGTCATTACATAATTCAATAGAACATACATGTATGGTCGATATTCTTCGACCAACCAGTGAAAAGTGAATCCGCAAGCAAACAGTTTATTTTTGCTACACTCTTCTCTATGAGAAAGAGAATATAAACAAATATTTGTATTTAACTCGTATATATCAATACAAGAAAATCCATCTTTTCAACATATTCTAATATATATTTTTCTTCAATTGAAATAATTAAACTTTACTTCTATAGAATCTGCATCGTTGCAATTTCTTAATTGAGAATATATTCCAACTAGTTATTTAATTTAAAATGTAATCTTTTCTACTTTTGTTTTCGCTGAATCATCAAAAGAAGAAAAAGGATATTGAAAGTGCGTTCAACAAACATGAAGAAATGATTTTAGAGTAAACGTCTTGACGTTTTACTTATTTTTAATATCGTAATAAGGAAAATTTTTTCTTTCTGCATTTTCTATAAATAACTTCCATATTCTGAAACAATTTGTACAATTAGAAAACTTTTTTTTTATATTTCTAATTAAAATATGGTACCTCTTATGATATAATTCTATTCATTTAAGAGAAAATCATCGTTTTCTAATTTTTTTACTTATAATATCAAGTTGAATGCGTATTTTTTAAGATAATTCGAGAAATAAATTTTAATTAATATTTTTCTTTGTATTTAGCTATTTGTAAAACTTAAGAAATAATACGTACAGTGATGAAGCTATAGTTTTCTCATATTTTTGGGAAAAAAAATATTCTTTTGTTCGACTTCACAGCATCATGTTAATGATGATTCTATTTTCTTCTCTCATCGTTCTCGGTTTGTCTATTTGAAAATTAAAAAAAGAAAAAGTACGGACAAATATAACATTTCGATTATTTTTATTTAAAATCAAGAGATATAAAACGATAGTGATCTTATACAAGAATTTAGATTAAAAAATCATGATAATAATAATACTAAACATCGATTTATTATGTGATAATATCACAAATATATAGTTTAACTACAAAAAAAATCTCATTTGTGTAATTATATTTTTTTCTTTCAAATAATAAAAGAAATATGAGGAAAAAAATATTCATCTATCTCCATAGAAATTGTACAGAGAAGTATGATTTAGCCAAGATATATGGTAGTTTTCTGCAGTTCTTAATAAACAAAACCTTCGGATATCTGATTATTTATTTTTTCCAAAAAATTTTCTGCTGTTTTTCAATATGAATATTTTTTGTATAAAAATTTTCATTCGATAGTCTCCATGATGATCTGAAAGAATCACGATTGTTTTTTCTAAGATATACAAGAGTCAGTACTTACCAAAGAGATTTTTTTTCTGTTCAAAGTAAAGTAAAAAAGTGTTGTGTATTTAATTTGATGAAATCTCTTTATGAAAAGAAAAATATTTTTTAAAACTAAAGAAAGAAAAAGAAAAGATATTTTTAATATGAATAATTGTGCTTTCCTGATATCAACAAGATACAAAGAATGTTTTACTCGTAGTTACGAAATATTTTCTTATTTAACTAGCTGATTACGAAGGTCGTTATTTTTGTGCTACATTATTTCAAAGAAATAAATTTTCTGAAAAGTCTACCAAAGTGTTATCCGAATATTAACAGAATGCATTGATGTTAATCCAAACATGACGATGAAACTCTGTTTGAAACTTCATATCTCACCCTCGAAATATTATATCAAAACTAATTGATGATGATAATATATAATAAGTGAATGTTTCGGAACTAAAATTCATATAAACTTCAATGATAATTGGGTATGAGTTTTCCCCGGAATTGATTTAATTAATTATAAAACAAAATGAATATATTTTATGAAATTGACAATTCAGTGGTGTCGCTAAATGACTGAAGCAGGAAAGAGAATAAAGATGCTTGTATTCTTGAAAACAATGTTATTTTAATTTTTTCTTTGTATGGAAACGATATTTATAGATAAACAAAATATTTATTAATGAAGACACATTCTGGGGTAATTGAACAATTTTATGATTTTGTAAATTTTCATCACTACTTACTAACAGAACGTAGTGAAAGTTACCAGCTGTTTCGAGTGTTTCCTGCTGATATTCACTTATGGACTTGTGGTTGTAACTGATATATCAATCTCACATCTTCACCTACACTTGGTTGACAGAAAAAATCTCGGCCCATATATGAAATATATTGTGTTCTTTTCAGCTGCAGAAAAGATTTGCTATATAGAAAGTGTCCTTCATTCTACAATGATATGCTATCAGTTTTGTTTTACTTATCACTCTCTCTCTGTTATATTTAAAAGCAGGTAAAGTATCAAAACTTACAAAACAACTTTTGTTTTGATAAAATGAGGTGGATCATTATTCTTCTGTCCTCGTTTATAGCTTTCGCTGCGACAGGTAAACATTTTAATGGCAACGGTCCTTTTAGAAAGCCTCATAGAATAGATGACCATCCTGAAGATGCTTGTAGACATCCTCCACACGTATCGTCTTCTATAAGTGAAACCGTAGCAACTTTAAATGTATCAACTACGATCTATTCCACCAACGAACAGATCACAATTACTTGGACATCCGTATCAACTGTATGTCACGATGATTTTATTGCAATTTATTTTGCAGAGATTCCTCTTACTGCTGGTAAATATGACTCTTTTTTTTAAATGATTTATGCATATATACAATTCTATTTTTATTTTTCTAGCTTGTGATTATTACGATTATGAAGTTGTTAATAAAACCCAAGGTAGTATGTCATGGCAAATGATTAATCTTCGTCGTCCATTAGAATTTCGTTATTACTCACGAGATCATACTTGTTTGGGCAATTACACATTTCTTGCTAAATCTCCTGTTATTCAACCACGCAATTACAATGAGCCAACACATATTCATTTAGCTTATAGTGATCGAATAGATCAAATGTTTGTTTCCTATTTAACTAATTCATCACAATATATTCCTCAATGTCAATATGGATTAAATCCATCATCATTAAACTTTCGTCAAAATGGAACAACAACAACTTATACAGCATCAGATATGTGTGAAGGAAAGGCGAATACATGGGGTTCACGAGCATTTATCGATCCGGGATATATGCATACTATTTTATTAGAAAATCTTCATCCATCAACAACATATTATTATCGTGTAGGAACTGATGAACATGGTTGGTCACCTATCAATTCATTTACAAATCGTCCGGCAGATAAGAATGAAGCAGTCTATATGATTGCATATGGTGATATGAGTTTGGCTCCCCTTGCACCAGGTTCACAGTCCACGACAGATCGGGTTATAGCTCGAGTACAATCAACAAATGTTACTTGTGTGTTACATCTGGGTGATCTTAGTTATGCTATGGGTATTGCTGTTCAATGGGATGGATTTATGAATCAAATTCAGCCAATAGCAGCTCATGTACCTTATATGGCTGCAATAGGTAATCATGAATATGATCATGTATTAGGTGGTGAAAAAGATCCAAGTGGTGCATCTGGCCCAGGAGGATTTCGACCAGCATGGTGAGTGCCTATTTCGATAGAGGGTTAGATATTTTCTTTATAGAACGTCTTGTTTTATTTAGGGGTGATTATCTTTATGATTCACGTGGTGAATGTGCAATTCCAATGGTTCATCGTTTTCATTCTCCATCAAATGGAAATAGTCTTTTTTGGTATAGTTTTGATGTTGGACCAATTCATATAATTCATTTTTCAACAGAACATGATTTTCGTCGATCATCAATTCAATATGCATGGCTCGAACAAGATCTTCGTTCAGTAAATCGTTCTCGTACTCCATGGCTTATTGTTGGTTCACATCGACCAATGTATGCATCAATAAGAGATGATTCTAAAGATTTTGATTTTATTGCATTAATGTTACAATTTCATTTGGAACCATTATTTTATAGATATCATGTTGATGTTAATCTCTTTGCACATCGACATTCATATGATCGAACATGTCCAATGTATCAACGGAAATGTGTATCAGATGGAGTAACACATGTATTAATCGGAATGGCTGGCCAAGATATAGACACTGGTGAATATACAGGTGCTGAATGGAGTATGTATCATGATGAAGTATATGGATATTGTCAATTATGGGCTAATCAAACATATTTACATTTTACATATCGTCACAATATTGATGATAATATTGCTGATCAATTTGTACTTCAGAAATAACATTCCGATAGACTATGCATTACAATTCTACTTCATTTTTGCTAAAACAAGACTGCACCAATAATAAATAAAATTCTCTTTCATCATTACTAAAAATTCACTCTTATACATAGTTCATTTACGTATATTTCCTATGAAAGATTATTTTCCATAATATAAAATATCATTTCACTATTTAAGTAGATATTCTCCAATGTCTCATGTAATCCAACATGTTCACAAATTGGTTGTTGATTAAGATTAAGATATGTTCGATAGCGTTTACCTTTCAAACTTTGACGTCGATAAATAGTTTGACCAGAAAAACATGATTGTACTTTTATAAGATGATTGTTACATGAATAATAACGAAAAATTGAAGACCAAAGATTGTTCGAATTAACAGTCCACTTTTGATCAAATTCATCTTTATGAGCATAGGGATCAAAATAGGTTTTGTACGAAATTAGACCACCTAAGAATTGATTATGACGAATACCATTAGCACAAATTGCATCAATAGTAGGATCTGTACTCAAATAGAAACCGGTAGAAAGAAATCCATCAATATATGTATAACCCCATAGATCAAAATCTTGAATAAGAATATATTCATAGTTTGCAAATTGTATATTATTTTCCAGATATGTCATATAAAGATTTCTCAATTGTACCATTTTTTCAATACGTAATAGATTTGCACCAGCCTTAGGTTGTGTAGGAGCTAGTGATAGATTGCATGAGGAAGGATCATTGATTCGATTTCCACATCCGATGACATGAATTCGACCTCCGACTTGTTTATCTTCAGCCCAATGAATTAGTTTCTGTCGAGTTTTATCCTTTGAATCATTCTCAACAATAACAACAGCGTAATCATCGAAAAGTTTCGTTATAGATTCAATTTGCTGT